TGCTATTGAAAACACAACACATTTTGCTTAGAGCACATAAAGATATCAAGCTGGAAGTGATCTAGAAACTTCCACTCTACTAGCTACTTGTTATAGTGCCAGAAGGTGCTATGCAGACCATTGTAAAAAGAAATGCCCTCACCTGATTTATTCAACATTGAAGCTGAATCCAACAATACTGCATTATCAAACAAAATGTGCCCCTCAATGCAATAATAGAGTGACTACTGGGGTAATCACTTGTTTTCTGATTAGATTTGAGGCCTCTTCCACCAGGAATTTGTGCCTGGTACTGTAAACCTAGTCAAATGCTAATGGCTGGGGAAATCATAATCCTTCTAATCAAATCTACTACTGCTGTTTTTGCTAAATGGACACATTGTCAAAATGCTTCCTAAATATTGATGGTTATATCCATTGATTGATGCTTTTCTCAACCTTGGTGAGAGAAGCTTCCTTTTGCAGTGGATAATAATCAATGCAAAGACTCATAGCTGTCAAACTTTGGAGAATAAGAGATGTTGGGTACATAGCCCTAAAAAGATATCTATATGAACTCTCACAGAGCTGAGTAAACATTGGCAAGGAGGGTGTGATAAGAATGTCAGGTTAGGATAATAGGGGGGAAGGCTATTAAATGCTGTGTTCTGTGTATTTAATGGTAAAAATAAAAGTAGGACTACTACATAAAATTGCAACATACTTTATAGATATGAACACAAGGTTTTCAAGAATTTATTTATCATAAAGGAAAATTATTAGAAATATTACACTTGCTATACAATTATATAAGCCAAGCTAAATAAGCTATAGGAATATTCTATATTTCTAATAAATACATCTTATTTTCACAAGGGGTATTAAAAGTAATCATAAAAATAATTAAGAATGAGATTTTATGATATATAGGTCAGCGCTGAAATATTATCTGATCTCAGTTTAACAATCGAATTCCCATGAACTCCTTCAGAGCCTCTTTGTCAAAGGAGTTGCACCACAGCTTTTTAATGTAAAGCTGACTGTAGCATGAATCATAGTGAGTCTTATTAATAAAATCAAACCCAGAACCAGGTATTGGGGTGAACTGGAAGATCAGAGAACCAGAACAAGCCACAGCTAACCTCACCTGGCCAACTTCTCAGCTGATCTTGTTTCCTCAGACTGGAAGCTCTGTGTCCTCATATCTGAATGGCTCTCAGCTGAACTGCTGCTAGAATCCTGAAAGCTTAACCAGGCCAAATGCTTAACCAGCCAAATGCTTCTAGTTTCTGGTCCTCACGCCTTATATACCTTTCTGCTTTCTACCACCACTCCCTGGGATTAAAGGCTTGCTTTCTGGGATTAAAGGCGTGATGAGTTACCATGCCTGTCTGTATCCTTGAACACATGGATTTCTGCCTCTGGAATGCTAGGATTAAAGGCGTGTGCTACCATTGCCTATCCTTTATATTTAATATTGTGGCTGCTCTGTCTCTGACCCCAGATAAGTTTATTAGCATGCACAATATTTGGGGGAATACAATACCACAGCTGTCTATATGAGAATGATTCCTCAAACAGTCAATATAAAGGATTCTTTAATAACACAAACATTTGAGGCATAAAATTCAAGGAAATCATAATTAAGTAGTTATACAGATGACAGCTTATACTGGAGAGGATGTGGAGAAAAGGAAACACTCCTCCACTGCTGGTGGGAATGCAATCTTGTACAGCCACTCTGGAAATCAGTATGGCGATATCTCAGAAAATAGTGAATCAACCTACCTCAAGACCCAGAAATACCACTCTTGGGCATATATCCAAAAGATGCTCAACTACAACACAAGGACATTTGCTCAACTATGTTCACAGCAGCATTATTCGTAATAGCCAGAACCTGGAAACAACCTAGATGCCCTTCAACCAAAGAATGGATAAAGAAAACGTGGTACATTTACGCAATGGAGTATTACGCAGAGGTAAAAAAACAATGTCATCATGAAATTTGTAGATAAATTCTATGCAACTGGAAAAAAAATTATCCTGAATGAAGTAACCCAGACCCAGATAGACAAACATGGGATGTACTCACTCATAAGTGAGTATTAGATGCAAAGCAAATGATAACCAAGCTACAATCCACAACCTCAGAGAAGCTAGGTAAAATGGAGGACTATAGACGGGACACACATGGATTGCTCCAGGAAGGAGAAAGGGTTAAGATCACCTGGGTAGGCTCTGCTGACTCACCATGGGATACTTTGCTTTGGAGGAGGTGGGAATGTGGGGTGGGTTGAGGGGGAAGGCTGGGGGATGGGAGGAGGGAGGACGGGAATCTGTGGTTGATATGTAAAATGAATAAAAAAACTCTTAGTAAAATTAAAAAAAAAAAAGATCACCTGTGTAAACTGGGAAGGGGAATAGAGGGGAAGGAATGGGAGGTGGGAACATGGGAGAGAGACAGGGAAGGAGAGCAATAAAAGAGAGATATCTTGACTGAGTGTACCATTAAGGGGATGAGGAGAGATCTGCAGCTAGGAAAAATCCAGGAACTCACAAGATTGTCCCCAGCTAAGACTCATAGAAATGGTGGACAGGGCACTTGAACTAGCCTTCCCCTGCACTCAGATTGGTGTCTACCTTAATGGTCATCATAAAAATCTACATCCAGCGACTGATGAAAGCAGTTGCAGAGAACCACAGCAAAGCACCTGGCCATTAACTTGGAGTTCAGTAGAAGAGAGGGAGGAATGATTATAAGAGGAAAGGAGGTCAGGATCATGATGGGAAAAACCACAGAGACAGCTGACCCAAGCTAGTGGGAGCTCATGGAGTCTGGACTGATAGCTGGCGAGCCTGCATGGGACCAAACGAGGCCCTCTGAATGTGGGTGAAAGTTGTATGGCTTGATGTGTTTGTGGGTCCCCTAGCAATGAGACCAGGACTAATCCCAGATACACAAACTGGCTTTTTAGAGCCCATTGCCTATGGTGAGATGCCTTACTCATTCTTGATGCAGCAAGGAGGGGCCTGGGCCTGCCCCAACTTGGTATGCCAGCCTGTGTGGACTACCCAAGGGAGGCCTTACCCTATATGAAGAGGGGATGGGGTGGGATGGAGGAAGGTAGGGCGAGTGAGAGAAAGGGAGGGAGGAGGGAATAGGGGTTGGTATGTAAGAAAAAAAATTTAAAAAAAAAAAAATATATATATATATATATATATATATATGCATTTACTAAAAGTTAATATTGGAAAATCCAGGCCTATATTAACTTAGACTATCAATTCTGTCAGTATTTTCACATACTATTTGGAAAGCAAATCAATTATTTCTCAGGAGAAACAAGAATGGACCTTTTTAGAAAAATCTCATTCAAAATGAATAAACTACAAAACATGAGGCATTCATGTGAAGTCAAATCATTTCAATGAAACAATGAGAAATTATCTGAGTTTGAAAATCATTGGAAAGTGGTAAGTTACCCTATGCTTTACAGACCAAAAACAAAATTACATGGCTTCAAGTACAGTGTAAAGATTAATGGAGAGGGGTTTGAAATTAATTTTAATTAGGAGTGATTAATCTGAGTTATTTTTAAGTGATACCATGTTAAAGCAGCTTAATAGACCAGAACTAGCATGGGTGAGCCTTCCACTGACCATGGCTCTGCTATGCAAAGACCAACAGTACCTGAGACAGACAGGAGCCAGGCCATAGGTAACTCATGAACAGAGAGCTCTCAAAATCTTGGTGAACTGTATTCATAAATTCATTTCTGGTTGTTAAAGGTAAGTAAATGGACATTAGCTATCATACTGACTCAAAAAGATATCACATTGGGTCAAAAACAGAATAGAGACTGGATGGCAATACCAAGGTAAACCAATAAGAACTGGTTATCGAGTACTACATAAAAGCAGAGACTTCTGATTATCTTAGATGCTGTACATTTACTTGGATTTTATTCATCTAACAAATTGTATCAGAGGGAAAAAAAAAACATTCCAGGCCTACAAATGCACAAGCTTTTTAAATGGAAGCTATTATATCAATATCAATTAGGCTGTGATATTTGCACTATAAAGAGTATCTTATAAAAAGTGGTCGTATCTTCCTCCTTCCTTCTCTCACTGGCCAAAGTAAAAAGCACCAATAAAATCATCCTGAAAGATCTCTGAGCTGCCTTCAGTTTAGTCACCATGTTTGCTTCCACAGCTAAAACCTAATTACACAACACAATGAAAGTTCTTATTGTTCATATTCGTCATAGCAGCCACGGGGACCTTAACTTGGATTATAGGAAATTTATCATTAACAATTCATCATGAGCACTGCTAAAGAATAGAGCAACTGCTAATTCTAACAAATGATCAATATCTGCTGTGAGATCATCAATGAGGAACACAGTACTGAAATCGGACAGAACACAGTTAAATGGAAAATGTATATGGCATGGTAAAATAAGGGAATGAAAATCAAAGATGGTTGAAAATAAACTTCCAAGGGCATTTTTAGAAAACAATAACTTAGACCAAGAGAAATTTGTGGTCTTTAAATGGAGAATCAATACTTGTTAACATTCTGTCAGAAGGTCACAGTAATAACTTCCATAGAGTAAGTACTCTAATCACATTTATTAAGGTGTGAATGAAAGAATAAATGGAAAGTATCATGGTGGTTGGAAATTGCAAGCATTGTGGTTTCTTCAAGGATCCATGAAGATAGCTCCCTTTAGTATTTATTAGAATTATTTGTAAGGATTTCAAATTGTGTATAATTAAATAAAAACAATCTAGTCTTGGAAATATAAATGTGGGCTTGATGAAGTAGAATGCCACCTAGAAATTGACCTAAACATTCTAGAGTGGTTACAAAGCCATTATGTAGGATGACTTGGAGAGAAGGGTGCTAAAAGCACATCAGAACATGTGCACCATTTTATCTTTCCAATAGATTTGGCAATGACCACAGTGGGTAGAAATAGAGGAGGAATAGCACAATATTAAAATCTACTTACTGCAGTCCATGCATTTCTTTTGCACCGGGCACACAGCCATCCATCACAAACATCGTGAGAAGGGACACCATAACAACCTATAATATAATGGCATGGATATATACATTAAGTGTCTTATATCTTTAAAATGTCACCCTAGTAAAACAAACCTATGATCCCAGCCACTAGAAAGCTGAGGCACAGTGATCATATATTCAAGTACTATATGATCTACATAGAGGGCGCAAAGCTCGTCTATGTAATTAAGTGAGGTTGTTCTAAAATAAAAAGTACAATGAGGGTTTGGGTTATGAATTAGTGGTCGACTACCTAGCAAGCAAAAATAATTAGGTAAAACATCCAGTATGGAAAAAAATGCATATTTCAAGAAAAAAATAAACAAAGCCATTCAATGCCTAGCAAAAACAAAAAATGTAAGTAGGCCTCTGTCAAGTTGCTTTTGATTCATATTTCTTCTAACTATTACTGTATCAGTTCCCAAAACATGAAAATATATGTCTTTTTTTCTAGTTTGGATTTTTGTTAATGTTTGCTTTAGTGTTAGTATTAGTGTGTGTGTATTATATGTGTTGTGTATAACAATGTGGACTCATGAGTACCATAGCAGGTGTGTAGAGGTCAGAAAACAAAGTTGTAGGATCAGTATATAGGTTGTGGCAATGAAACACAGGAAGTCAGGCTTGCAAAGCAAGTGCTTTTGCCTATTGAATCATCTAAAAAGTCTATTTATTTGGAATCTTTGGTAGGGGTTTTTGCTACACAGTGCAGGTTGAATGAAACTTGATTCTCTTGTCATAGCTGCTTGAGAACTAGGTCAAGAGATGCACCAGCACACCAAGTGTGAGAGTATAAATATTAATAACATAAGAGAGATAATTCCTACACATAGGTAAAAATAAAATTTCTAACTGTCATGTTAATATTGTCAGTCATGCATAAATATTCAAAATAAGTTACAATTCATGAAGCTGTTTGGGAAAATGTTAATGAAGTTTGACATAAATTTCAGTGATTGGGGCAAAGTCTGCACAGTCCTTGGCAATGAAAGTCTGCTTTCAATTCAATGTTTGCTGAATCAATGCCTAGGCTAAGTGTGAACATGACAGTTAATGCAAATATTTGTAGTAATTGCATAATAACAAGAAGCATATATTACTGGGTTAGGATATCATCTTAAAATAAACAAGCAAATAAATCAATAAATAAACAAATTAGTATGTAATAATACCAGTATTTGAGATACTGAGACAGAAGAATACAGCATGTACAAAGTCTGCCTGGCCTACAGAGAAAAATCCTTAGAAAGAGAATCAGAAACAAGGATGGGAAAGGAGAAGGGCAAATGGAAGAGAAAGCAAATAGGGAGTCAGAGGAGAGGCACAGTATCCTTAATTCCTGAAATAGAAGAGTTTGGAAGAGATAAATGAGTAATTTTAACACCAAAATGTGATAAAAGAGCCAGAAAAAGAAAATCTTAGAAACATAATTAATCAAAAAACAAAAAACAAAAAACAAAAACAAAAAAAACAAAACCATGCCACAGGTAACCAACTCAAATCAAAAGCTAAATTCAATCATGTTTATGGGATTAGTACGGTGAGATTATAGAGCTGGTGATTTTGATTATACATATAAATGTGCAGTAAAATAATGTACATACATATATATGTATGCTATGTATTACAAAGCTGAATCAGCATAAAAAGATTGCTATTACTGTTCTTCAAAGAACTTGTTGCTCTGGCAGAAGATCCAGATTTGATTTCTAGCACCAATATTGTAGCACCAATAGCTCACGATTAGCTATAACTACAGTTCCAGAAGACTGAAAGTCTTCTTCTGACTTTCCCAGGCACCAACAACATGTGGAGCGCGCGCATGCGCGCGCACACACACACACACACGCACACACACACACACACACACACACACACACACACACACACACAGGCAAAATATTTATTCATATAACAAAATTATAAAAAATAAAATGTGAAAAAAGAATATGCGATTCAGAATTTCCGATGTGGTTCAGTGGCACAACATACACTTAGCACACATAAGGCTCTTGTTTGGCCCCAACTATTAAAAGATGAAAGGAAAAACCAATAACGCCCCCAACACAGATAAATGTAATTGAGAAAAATTAGGAATGTTGAAATACTTAAGAACTAGAGTTGTAATAAAATATTTAATTCAATATATTAATTCTTGGAGTGTACAAATGATTCTAAAAAAATCATAAAGTCTTCAATCAATACCAAATATTTAAATTAAATTTTCACAATCTAGTATCATTAAAATACAAAATTCAAACAAGTGAAGGAACCCCATGATGATATGTCACCTGGACTCCTGACAATAAAATACCCATACCTTCTTTTCACTGAGGCTTCATAAATCTGGAGAGCAAAGGGTGATTATCTATTCATAATCTTAAAAGAAGCCATTAAGAATATCAACAATAAGATTAGAATGTAGCTCTACTGCCCGACTGTGCTTACTATGCACAACGTCCTGGGCTCAATCTCACTTCCACATAAATCCAGGCATGGTGGTACACATTTGCAACCCCAGCATTTCAGAAGTAGAAACACAAGGACATGGCTGGCTTATGTAGCAACCTCCTGAGCAGCTTAGGCTACAAGATCTTGGCAAAAAGAAGAAGGTTGACATGTGAATTGACTGGTTACAATGTGGTGATTTGTAGGGGCTATGTACAACACTGAAAATCCAGGGACCAGAAAAATCGTAATTTTATTTACTTGCATGAACCCGCACGAAGCACTTGGCACAGGAAATCAGAAGACTTGTCCCATCCTCTTCAAGGAAGGCATTTGGGGGGGAATATTCTATATTTTCTTCACTATAAATAAAACACATCTCTGGAATAATGGGTTTAGTCTTTCTTCCAGATTTAACTACTTCATTTACTGTTGTCTCCCATCTAGAATAATTTTCTTCTTTGCTGATCTCAGGCTGAAAAAGATAACATATCCACATGAGTGAAAGACAGGGAAGAGTTCAGCTTTTATTCATTGATCCACTTATATCTGTTCTAACCACTAAATTACAACTTCTTGTTTTCATTAATTCAACTGCTAGCATTTTGTTGTTGTTGTTGTTGTTTTGTTTTCCAGACAAGGTTTCTCTGTGTAATTTTTGGTGCCTGTCCTGGATCTTACTCTGTAGACCAGGCTGGCCTCAAACTCACAGAGATCTGCCTGGCTCTGCCTCCCAAGTGCTGGGATTAAAGATGTGCACCACTGCCACCCAGCACTGCTAGCATATTATCAATGCTTCGATACAGACTCCCATTCAGAAATCAGACAGTAAGAATAAAAAAGACCTGTGAGTCATACAAGATTGTGAAGTGCTCTTCCAACTGTGCTGTTTCAAAATACCTCAGGAATGCACAGCTACTTTTGTTTACACTTGTCAGTGATCCACTTGTACTAGGCTAATCCTGCTTTGACTTACTGAAAGATATTATGTGGTTATACTTCAAAGAATACATATAAATGCCCAGGCTTTCTACAAGCAGCACTTTTGCCTCTTGCAAAAGCTTGAAATAGAGAAGAGAGACTGGCATATGTGGTCAGATAAGAATGATGTGCCAGAAATAACTGTCACCTTTTAGCAAAACATGGGGAAATTACAGCTAATGAATTATTTTTATTATTTCCTAGAACTTAAATTAATCAACTTCCAAAACCTTATAACATAATAAGGAATATTTTTATTATTGGAAAATACACATAGATAGGAATACTTGAATAAGAATCAATAAAAACAAATATTTAATCGATAAAGGAAAGTTTAAAAAAAAAAAGTAAACAAGCTACTAATGTCAAAGTTGAAAATGTAGAATTTCAACCACTCTCCAGCTCTGAAGTATCCTAATTAAATTATTATTACATGACACTTTAAGAAATTCAGATGGTGAATAAAGTATTTCTGGGGCTGGGGAGATGGCTCAGAGGTTAAGAGCACTGGCTGCTGATCCAGAGGACCTGAGTTCAATTCCCAGTAACCACATGGTGGCTCACAACTATCTATAGTAAGATCTGGTGCCTCTTCTGGCCTGCAGGCATAATGCAGGCAGAATACTATATACATAATAAAATAAATAAATCTTTAAAAAAAAAATAAAATAAAGTATTTCTGATTATATCAGGGAAAACACAACTTAAAAATGATGATCTATCAGTGAGTTTTCTACTATATTGTACGTTAAAGCACACAATTCAATTTAACTTCTACAGCATTCAAGATCTGTTTTTTGTGTGTATTCTGAAGAATATACTCGTGCCTCAGCTGAGATGCTGTCAGAATGCAATGCATGGAATAATGATGGAACCACCAAGCAGAGTTAGCTGATGGCAGTGAACAGATACACAGTATGTAATGAGTCTTGGATGTGTCTTTTGCATGTTTCACATGGAAAGGTGTAAGGGACAAAAATCAGGGCTGGGCACTGATATCTATATTACTGAAGAGTACTACTTTCAATTTTAAAAAGATACCAAGTATATGTTCTTTCTATTAAATATTTTGTTTCCAGGCTTTGGGTTAGAAGTTTTTTGTCTTTTAGTAAAAAGAACTGGATTTAGAATTAAAGGTTTCTAAAATACGCAGATAAAAACAACTGCTAAAAACAAACAAAAAACATCCCAGCAAAAGCCCTTAAGAAAGTACAGCAGTGTAATGATACATTGATAGCCACACTCCAAACTACCTTGTAGTAAGGCATGAGCAGAGTGCAAATTGCACAATGTGGTTCCATTTTTGCCACAGCTGCATTATACTCCTGTTCAGCCATAAAGTTAGGAGACTTTGTCTGCCAAAGGTGGATGAGAGGCTTTGCCCAGGACTCTGTTTCTTCCACTTCTTCGTCAATGGTTAGACTCTCAGGTGACTCTTGAGAAAGAAAAGAGGAAAATGAAATAAGCAGAAGACTCAGAAAAAGATATCACCCTGGTAACAGACATTGATTATTCTGTAATATCAATGCCAGATACTAAGCCTATTTTATCAACTATATTCTGAAAGAAACAGAATAATTGTGCTTTTCTGTCATCTTCTCCAGCCTTGGAAGAGAAGATCAGATCAGAACATGGGGTCATAAAACAACTTTTCTTTATTAGCTATTTTCTTTCTGCTGGGAAAAAAAATACACCAATCTCTCCTTAAACTTCATCATTTCATCTTTTTAGCTAACTCTGCAAAACCACCTGCATGGTTAACATGTTTAAGTATGACTAAGCTAGTGACTCTCTTATTAATACCTTCATTTTCTCCATTTAACATAGTAAATAGTTCAGTAAAAGCTTATCAGTGGAATTTAATTAAATTGATTTTTTTAATTTAAGAATCCATGGCATTTATAGAGCACCTATAATGTAGAAAATAAAGTAATTGTTATAATATGGACATTATGGCACATTAAAGTACATTATAGAAAAAGAGGCATAAAACTTGAAAGGTAGAAGAAGCTAGCTGCAGAAAGACTGGAAGCTTGTCCCCATTAGGATTACATACATATATAAATAGAAAACCAGATGATGTGTGAGAAAAGCCCTGTAATAGCCAAAGTCAAGCAAAAGGGCTTTGTAAATAACCCCTAAAGAAAGATTCATGACACTGATGGCCTACAGCTTTGAAAACTTGTCTTCTTTGGGTTATCTAAACAATGCCCATTTTCTAGAACACCTTTCTTTTCTTTAATAAAATATCTCTACTTCAATCATCATTTGTTTCCAGTTTCATTTATTTTTCTAAAGACACAACAACCTGTGGTTATACTCTGAACACTGATCAATGGCTGCAACAGCTGGTAAACCACCAAGGACTGTTATGCTATTTATTCATAGAACAGTTCAAAATGGGATCAAAGCTCCCAATAAAGGCCTGATGACAGCCTATGGGCACATAAAAGACTAGGAGAAGGGCATTTAGCAATTCCTTTGACTTTCTTTCGTGGCTTATGGCTTCCTGTAACTGACTGAGGGTATGTCTGTACCCTCTCCCTTACCCTCTCTACTAGGTCTTTAAGTAGGGCAAAGAAGTAAGAATTAGCTAATGGCTTCCTTGGAAAAACCAACATTAAATTGGCAGGTAACTATCCAGGAGGACCGATCTTTAAACTGGAAGGCTTTCAAAGAGCCATCATGATGCAAGTCAAGCCTGGGAATACACAGAGACCTAGTCCCCATTGCAATGTCAAGTACTCACATAATTAGTACTATGCACATTGAAGCTGCTTGCCCAACATGTGAGCAACAAAAGATGTCTCTTCCACCAGGATGGTGGTGCTTATGAGGAAGAACATTACGGTACTAATGTAAATAGTGATAATTACATGGCTTGGGTGTCTACAATGTCTCTGAATCCTCTAAACATAATCTACCTTTTCTCATTTTTCCCTTCCTTACATTTTCCCCAGAGGACTACTGAGATAAGGAGAATGACAGACTCAAATGAGGACATGGTGTAAACACTGCCATAACTCTTGGCTAGTCGCTTTACCTCCCATCTATGCCCTCAGGATGAGGCAGGGGAGCAGATATCTAGATACCAACTCCAATGTTTTCAGTAAACAATACACAACTGCTTCCCATGATGACACAGCCATGTGACTCCAAGTTAACTTTGCTTCCCAATTTCCTACCACTACGATTTATTTAGTTCTGCTCTTTTATATCCTAACTGCTCTCAAATTCTGCATATTAATTTAGTAGTCACAGTGGTATCCACGAGGTACAGAGATAATTTACTAGGCAATAAGCCATTCACACAAACATGATAGCCCATACATATTTTTCATCTGAATGATAATAGCAAAAGCCATAGCAATTCATATAAGCCAGTTTTTTTTTTTTTTCTCTGAAACTAGTAGCCCAGTAACTTTTGTATCTTTTATGGGCAAAGACCTTATTCCACCAAAGTAAAAGAAGTAATATCAGAGGTGTTTATAACAGGGAAGCATATCTACATTGTGGAACATGGTCCCAAGAAATAAACATGAGCCTGGTGAAAAGGCTAAGCCAATAGAGGTACTTGTCTCCAAGCATGATGACCTGAGTTCCATCCCTGGACCCACATGATGGAAAGAGAGAACAATCTCTATAAATTATCTTTTGAACACACAGTCAATGTGGCATAAACTTGTTCAACGACATTCACACTAACAAAACAAAGAAATAAAATGCAATGAGAGACAGAAGGAGGGAAAAAAAAACGTAAGTGATAAAGCTCAGTCTATCCCTAGAAGTCCCCAAAATAAATAATCAAACTTTATTTTTAGTGAGCATTAGAATTACTTTTGGAATGTCTAAATAAAAGGAGTGTGTGTGTGTGTGTGTGTGTGTGTGTGTGTGTGTGTGTGTGTGTGTACCAAGGCCTGGTAAATATATAACATCTTATAAAATTAGGTAGTCTTAGCTTCTTAAAACCTCCTAAAATTATGTCTTTGAATCATAAAATTTTTATAAAGCATTAAAATGGCACTTGTTTATATAAAACAATACTCACTGGAGTCGTAAACAATTCAATAAACCATGAAAAGTTATATTGAATATATAGAACTTGATAAAGATTTCCTTCCAAAACAGGCTCTGAAAAAAATTTACATTTTGAACTCATTTTCTTTCTTTTTTTTTTTTCCTCTCTTTTATTTTTTAAGTCCAGGGAATATAAACATAATAGGACACATCATTTATCCTACTCAAAATAAATCTAACATGGATGACTGATTCTAAGGAAACAGTATCTTCCATACACAAAAGGACTGATGCACATGTGAATTCACAGACTGGGGCAGTATGCATAGGACCAAACTAGTTCAGATCTAGTTGAGAGGGAGAAAAGGACACTGGGTCCCATCCCTAACTAAGAAGCTATTTGTAATTGATACTAACTGACAATGGGGAAAAAAATCAGTTTTCTCCAGTGGCGTGTCATTGCTATATCAATCACACACCAGAGCAAACACCATGCCCAAGAAAAGCTGGCCAATACAAAATGAAGTATATTTCGGTGCATGTGAGTGTTACTCTGGTACTTTTTGCTTCTATAATTTTCTGTAGGAGGATCACACTCCAGACTCAATAAAGAAATGATCATTTACCCACAGAGGACACTAATCCATATTTAAAGAGTTAATTTCTCAGAAATTCTAATGTAGGTATATTCTAATATGAATACTGCCAAAGGAGATGGTAGGGCAGAAAATCCCGAAAACCAGCTGTACTGGGAACTGTGTGTTCAAAATGAGGATTAAATCTGCTTGTTCAATTCATTTAGGCAAGGATAATATCCCTTTACTTCCACTGATACAAACTACTAGATTCAAAGGAAAAAGTAAGATTGAACAATGATATAAATAATTTATTTAAGGCTATAGAATATTTTTCATTGTCATTTTAGATTTTTAAAATCTTTAGCCACCAGGAAATATTTACAGTTTTAAAATTCAATTCTCATAAGTTCCCAGAAGATATTGATATATGTAACTGTTACAAAAAGTACAATTACCGGCCAGGCAGTGGTGGCACACGCCTTTAATCCCAGCATTTGGGAGGCAGAGCCAGGCCGATCTCTGTGAGTTTCAGGCCAGCCTAGTCTACAAAGTGAGATCCAGAACAGGCACCAAAACTGTACAGAGAAATCCTGTCTTGAAAAAACAAAAACAAGACAAACAAACAAAAAGTACAATTACCAATGTTTCAGAAAAATGACCTTACACCCTTAAGACAACTTTGTTAACATTTTGTTAACTTTGTTACTTAGGTATTTTTAGCAAACTCTATACACTGAAAACAAGGGGGTACACTCTGGATATATTCTCAATGGATAACATAAAAATAAGCTTCTATCAGTTACTGAAAGTAGCTTCTATGATGACAATAAGGTAGTCCCTATTAATTATAGGGGAAGGTAAATTCAGGCATCCTCTCCATTCATTATTGCTAGGTGTCATTCTTGTGGATTCCTAGGGATTTCCCTAGCACAAGGGTTCTCACTAACACCCTAATGATTCACTATCAAGATATGGCTTTCATTGCTTTCCCTCTCTGTCCTTCTGTCCACTACACCATCTTAGTCCATCCTGTTCCCATCCCCCATCCTTTCCCTTCAATGCCCCCCCCCCCCAGTTTACCCAAGAGATCTTAACTATTTCCCCTTCCTGGGGCCCTCTAACTGATGAAGTGGATGCAGTGATAAACCACTAAGCACTGGTCTGAGCTCCTAGACTTCAGTGAAGAGAGGGAGGAGAGATCACAAGAGCAAGTGAGGTCAAGATCATGATGGAGAAAACCACAGAGACAGCTGACCCAAGCTGGTAGGAGCTCATGGACTCTGGCCTGTCAACTGGGGAACATGCATGGGACTGAATTAGGCCTTCTGAATATGGGTGACAAGTTACGTTTGTTTGGGGAGTCCCTGGTAGTGGGACCAGGACTTATCCTGGGTACATGAAATGGCTTTTTGGAACACATTCCCCAGGGTGGGATACTTTGCTCAGCCTTGATGGGGGGGGGGGGGGGGCCTTGGTCCTGCCTCACCTTAGTATACCTGACTTTGTTGACTCCCCAAGGGAGGCCTTACCCTTGACTACAAAGGAGGCTTTACCCTCTCTGAGGAGTGGACAGGGGGTGGGATGGAAAAGGAGGAGGAACTGGGATTGATATGTAAAATGGAAAAAAAAACAACTTTTTTTTAAAATAAATAAAAAATTTAAAAAAGCTTCTAGGAAGAAAAGCACACGAGAGAAAAAGCTTTCCTTAGAAATCTGTCTAGGCCCTTTCCTGCAGAGAAGTCATACCAATAGCAACCTGTGAAGAAAAGCAATCAAAATTCCTAAGTATTAAATGTTACATATAAATTCGTTTTAATCTGTCTTCTAGTTATAATAACTTTAATCGACAACAGCTTTGCTACATGAACTAAAATGGGATAGAGAAGGAACTGATGTAGCAAAGACAGTATCTATAATCCTAACAACTGGAAAGCTGAAGCAGGAGAATCAAGTCTCAGGCCTGTCTAGATTGCAATGCTGTAATTTATCTCAAGGAAACAAAACATTAGAACTGTACATTCTGATAATAAACAGAAATAATAGCTAGTGTGTCTCTTTTTTTCTATTATTCAACTAGAATGATATTCTTTGTTGAAGAAAGTACTACCACTATGTTCTTTACTTTTTTATATAAACACACATCATAACAGACAGTAAACAGAAAAATGATGCTGATACTTCTGGTGAGTGTTATTTAATCTGAACAAGCACCCCTATAATGGTGTTCCCTTCACTACATCCTCAAAGACAGGCGACTTTAGACAATATCCATCAGAAAAGGAAACTATCTCAAAGAAGAACTCTATAAAAAAACTGCTTGAATAGGTTAGTTAGAAATGTAAGGAAGAAATACATGTCTCATGTACTTAGTAGATGTCTCATCTAAACATCACATAGACCGAGAAAGGGGAAACAAATTAAAAAGAAAAGGAAATGTTAGATTGGGATATGTGACTTAAAAAGAAGTAGTTGTACATGAAGCCACATCAGAGAATAATCTACCAAGCAAAGATAGGGATCTACCACACACTGGTATGTGGAGATACATATAAGTGCTGGTTTCTTACTGGTTTTATGAATTTAAATGATTCAGTTTAAAAGTACAGACAATGCATATATGTCATGATCTGAAGTGATTCTTCTGGAAATTTCTCAGGCTGTGTCAGGAATGACTTACAATATGAAACAAAATATTTGTACTAGTGATATTATAAGTATATTAAGCAGAGCCTGGCGGTAGTGGCACGCACCTTCAATCCCAGCACTCGGGAGGCAGAGGCAGGGAGATCTCTGTGAGTTTAAGGCCAGGCTTAACTTACAGAGTGAGGTAAAGGACAGCTAAGACTGTGTCACAGAGAAACCCTGTCTCAAAAAGTCAAAAAAAAAAAAAAAAAAAAAGGGATATGAAGCAAGTCTTTATTTCTAAATTTCAAGAGGGAAATATTTTTTATCACAGCTAAATGCACAAGTCATCTATTATAAAAGATGGTGAATCATAGCATGCACTCACCTTCATCACTTGCTACCTGCTGTTTCACAAGAGTCATAGGCGATCTGGCTGGAGGCTTACCAAGTGGGTGGCGCCAACTCTTAGTAGTTTTGGGCTGTCCTTCTATTATCTGATTATAGAACAAAAAAGAGGTAAAAATAATTGATGAATAATGTTTGGTTCCTTTTGGTTTTTATTTTTTTTCCACGTGTCTAGTATGTGCATGTGTGTTTGCAAGAACGGGTAGACATAATATGCAGACCACTGTTTTACATTCTGAGACAGGATGTCAGTGAACCCAGAGATTACCTCTTCACAAGAGTGGCTGGTCAGTAAGTTCTAGTGATCCTACTGTTTCTGCCTCCCAGCACAGTGGTTACAGACTAATGTAGCCATGCCTAATTTTTCTGCATGCTTACATAACAAGCACATTATTTACTGAGCTGTTTCTTCAGACTTAATAAATATTTGTTTCAGAAAAAAAATTACTTCAAAATGATAACACTGTTGAAGAATAAATCTTGTACTTATTTACTCTTTAAGAAATTAGTACTTTAATTTGGATTTACAGGCTAGGATACAGCTCAGTGGTAGAACACTTACCTAGCATGCATAAGGCCCTGGGTTTTCATCCACAGTACTACCAGAGAGACAGAGGGAGAGAGGCTGAGGGAGGGGGGAGAGAAGGAGAGAGTGAGAGAGGCAGAGAGGGAAAGAAAGGGGAGGTAAAGGAAAAGGGGTAGCATTTTTTCCCAAGAGGTCAGTTAATTCTTCTTCAAAAAAATACTGTGTTTCATGGAAAGCTTACCAAAAATTAGCAAAATTTCAAAGATCCTTTAAAACTAGCCCAAGTCCACCATTACACACTCATAAAAGGATTAAGAATTGTGAAACTGTATCACCATTGATACAAAAATATTTGGCAAGTGATCCAGCTTTTATCCTCACAGAGAAGAAAAACCTGCCAAATGGAATAAAGGACTCCTCTTTCCATTGAGAAATGAGCAATAGGTTCAGTAAGAAGGTATTATTTTTCAATGAAACATTCCTATTATTTTGAAGTCACTAAATTGTGAAAGATATTTTAAGCCCCTATGAGACACTTTCCCTTTTTACTTTTAATATTTTTCATGGTTGTAGTTGTGTATAACACACAATGATTTAGAAAATGATCAAGTCTATTGATCAAATTATTGAATTATATTTTATATATTTAAGACTACTAAAAAATAGACTATTTGAAATTACTGTCTTTTAATAATATGCCTGTTACTAAAGGATGTGAAAAGACTCATAGTAGGTTTAGTAAACTGGGAACAATCAACAGGTTGATCAGGTCAGCATACAGTTCAGCTACCATCTGAAACAACAGAGAAGCTCCTCACAGACAATTGAAGTCCCTGGGAGGTTCAGAATGCTAGGGCAGCATTAGCTCACCTGACCCATTCCTAATTGAAGAACTGTTCATTCTGTAAATGAGGACAATGGAGAAATACAGAGAGGAGGCTATAGCCATAAAACCAGCATGGGGAGCTTAACTTTTCTGAGTGGTAAAAGGTTTGTTTATGGGAATAAACATGGCCATAAATATAGCTATAATATTCTGAATAAGAATAGTCAAAGAAAACACTAATCATGTGAGCCATGATGTTAAAACCAAGAGTGTATCAAATTGATTTTATAATAGTTACTATTGTCAGGAACACAGTACCCAAGAGGCAATTTATCTCAGCCTGGATAACAGGGCTGGTGACGGGAATACTCTGTATCACAACTGTCTAAATGTCAATATGAATAAGATTTCAAATTAATGCTTAATGCTTAATGTGGAAAGTAGCTAATGAGTACAAATGATCTCTCTCTGTACTATTTGTAGAGAAGCCTGTATTAGCTTCAAATAAAGATGTTGTTTTTTTCAAAGTGTAAAGTGAAAAAAAAATCAGACCTCAACATGTGGCCAAAAGATTTTTTTGTATTAATGATCAAAATGTGGGCCAGAACTCACATAGTTCCACTGATTAAATGTGATTAAAACTCCTAAATGTAATTACTGTTTATTTCTGCCTTAAAGCAAGATTTCAGGGGATAATATACTGTATTCACAAAGCATTATTATCGCCATACAGGCCACTACCCAACGCACATAGTAGAAATACATACTGACATGTACCTTAGGAACTTTGAGCCCATTTTGCTCTTCACTAAGAGCTTCTGGGATTTTCCCAGGTTCAAGGTTACTTCCATGGCCCTCTTCATCATTGTCTTCTTCCTCTGTCAATACTGTATTACTTTCTGCCAGGGAGGAAGACACCTTGGGAGATTCCGGCTGTAGAATCTTAAGGAGATGTGACTCCTTGCCTGTTACCTGGCCACTAGAAAGTGGCATGAAGTCACAGGCCTCCTTGGACATAGATGGTGAAGTTACAGCACCGGCTGTGTTATCTTCATGTCGCATTTCATCTGTTACTGGTGAACTTATACAGCTTTTTCCTGAGGAACAAAGAAAAAAGACTAACAATACGTGTCATATTGCATTACTACTAAGTGCAATGATTAAACAATTATCAAGGGATTACTGATTGTATATTTTCTTTCCTTTTTTTTTCTTTCTTTCTTTTTTTTTTTTAATTTTTGTGACAGGGTTCCTGGGCCCTATGGACCAGGCTGGTCTTGAACTCAGAGAGCCACTTGGCTCTGTCTCCCAAGTGCTGTGATTAAAACTGTATGCCACCACACCTAGCTGATTTTATATTTTCTGACTGTCCACCTCAATTTCCATAAACATGAAAAGTAATCAGTGTCATTACAATGAGATCTTAGACTTCCATTCTATTTTCTGTGTATGACTGTTATGCAGGCATGTATGAGTGTTTTGCTGGCAAGTATGTAAGCACACTAAATGTGTGTGCCTAGTGACCATGGAGACCAGAAGAGAACGTCAGCTCTCCTTGAATTTGAGTTATATAGATGGTTGTGAAGTGCCACGTCTTCTGTAAAAACAATAAATGCTTTTAAATGCGGAGTCATCTCTCTAAGTTCCAAGTTTGTACTTCTGAAAGAAAACAAAAACCCCACTGACAAGGCAGTCAAAGATTAAATATAGGTTCTAAGCCATATTATTGTCAATATACAGGTCATTCATAATACTTAACAAGGCATAAACACCTTGAAATATATGTAGAAATAAAATTTTTTCCAATAAATAATGCTAAGAATAGCTACAGAAGAAACAATGAAATTCAGAGAATGTGTATAAATGGCACATATAAAGTCCTAGAGATTTAAAAAAAAAAAGCCTCTGCTACATGAATCCTTTATGATTGGACATAGGCAAATGTGATTCTTTAACTGTCATATGGTTTGGAGGCAATGCTTTGAAATGTTTTCTTGTATGAGATATTATAAAGCATTTTCCAGACACACTCTTATCATCATTTCTATCTATCATACAGTAGCTCTGATAGTCAAGCCAAGTCTTCTACTTAAGTATTTTTCTAGGTCTCAAAACCTACATATCAAAACATAAAGAACTGATAGAACTAGCAAAATTAGGTACACTTCATATAAATCTTCCCTGAAGTCATAAACAGATTAATTAAACAGTGTTAGAATCAGAGATGAAAGCCAGGCAGCAGTGGTATATGCCTTTAATCCCAGCACTGGGAAGGCAGAGGCAGGCAGATCTCTGTGAGTTCGAGGCCAGCCTGGGCTACAGGGTGAGTTTCAGGACAGGCTCCAAAGCTACACAGAGAAACCCTATCTCAAAAAACCACAAAAAGAAAAAAAGAGAAAGAAAAGAAAAGAAAAGAAAAGAAAAGAAAAGAAAAGAAAAGAAAAGAAAAGAAAAGAAAAGAAAAGAAAAGAAAAGAAA